AAAAAAAAAAAAAAAAGAAAAGAAAAAAAAGATAATAGAAGCCAGTGCCTTGGAATTGAGTGCTGAGCTCTAGTTCTGGGAAGTTGTGAATTAGGCCAGATGTTCTAGAAGAAAATGAGCAGTATAATAAAGTGTGATTTGATGGCTTTCCCTTTGTTGCCAGAAGTGAAGGGAAAGGAGTTATAGGAGAGTATGTTAAAGGCTTGTTTTTCCCTAGTAGGTGTGGAGTTTCCAGAAGAAACAAACAGATCTCCTCCTCGCCTTTTATAAGCATAGAATTACAAAGTTAGAAACAGCCATGCAGGACGCACAACAAACGCTGGTCAGCCAGGACAAGTAAGTAACAAGTCAAATCCCTAGAGAGCTTTTTTTGTTTGTTTTGTCTTTCTAAGAAGTGACAGTCCTTATTTCCTTGTGTTTGCAAAGCCTGGAAATTGCTCCATATGTATTTGTTTGTTTGGGAAAATCAGGTACAGAGTTTTTGATCCCCTGAATCTCCATTTTTTTTCTTTCTGCCCTCCAGAGGCCCTCCTCACTTTATAGTTTTCCTCTTCTATTTCCCAGTATCAGAAACTGCTTCCCAGCCCAGGTGCAGAGGCTCACACTTATAATCCTAGAACTTTGGATGGCCAAAGCAGAAGGATCACTTGAGTCCAGGAGAAGACCAGCTTGGGCAACATAGCGAGACTCTGCTTCTAAAAAAAAATGGTTTTTAAATAAAAAATTAGCCAGACATGGTGGTTCTCACCTGTAGTCCCAGCTACTTGGGAGGCTGAGGCTGGAGGATCCTTTGAGCCCAGGAGTCTGAGTTACAGTGAGTTATGATTACACCATTACAGTCCTGCCTGGGTGAAAAAGTGAGACAATGTCTCAAAAAAACAAAATAAAACCCTCCACTTCTTTTTGAAAAATCATATATAGCTGATCCACACTGATAACACTCATTGTAGTGTCAACCTCCTGGGCTCAAGTGATCCTCCCACCTCAGCCTCCCAAGTAGCTGGGACTACAAGTGCATTCCACTATGCCTGGCTAATTTTTTTTTTTTTTTTTTTTTGTAGAGACTGAGTCTCTCCACATTGCCTGGGCTGGTCTGGATTTTTTTTTCTTCTTTTTAAATGTATTATTATTGTTATTTTTTTTTATGAATTGCTTCAAGCATTTGCATGTTAACTGTCTTTGGGGGCCATTCTAATCTTCTCTGTATTGTTCCAATTTGGGTATATGTGCTGCCAGAGCAATCAAAAGATGGAATCCTTGATAAAAACTTTTAGCCATTAGCAGGCCAGGGATGTGTGTGTGTGTGGAGAGAGGAAATGGATTCTTTTTGCAAATTCCCCTGAAATCATACCAAGTAATCTCTTATTTTGTCCACCTGATTGTTCTCATTATCAAAATCCTGCCATTGTCTCCTTCAATCACAAAATCTCTGATAGAAATAGGTTGTATAGCTGCACGCATTTCTCAATAAGCATTAAATAGATGTTAATAGTTATAATAAGAAAAAATCAGGTTTTTAATCCCTGATCTGCTGGAGCTGATTGTTTTCATCTTTTGCCTAGAGAATTGTCAGTTTTAAGGAAGGAGAATGGAGAACTGAAGAAACTTCTAGCCATTCTAAAGGTAAATGAAATAGATTTTCCTTATTATTTTTTCTCCTACTTTTCTCATCTATCTAGCTGACTGTATAGAATACTGTTTCCTAACCCTTTTCTCATCATGGAACACACAGAAATTGATATTTGTACAATAAGCACACTATAGTAAATGGATGAGGTCTCAGCAGACCTTGGAGGACTGAAAGGATCAATATATAGCACACTCGTAATCCATTCACAACATACCAGTTAGAAAGCTGTCTTATACAGGAGACATCTGCTGCAACTCAAAAATTTCTCTTTAATAAAGTCAAGACACCTCAGGACCCTTCCTCTGCATCACACTCTACTTCCTAAATATTTTTTCTTCCTAAGAATGTTCTGTGTATTTGTATAATTTTCCTGTTGATCCCACTCCTATAATTATTCAAGCACATTGTAGTATGTTATTTCCCTTTCTCTCCCCAGAGACTCCATATTTCCCCACATGTTAGTCTGTGGGATTCCTTATGTGTACTTATGATGAACTAAAATATTATCCCTTCAAAGCTAATGATATCCTGAGGAAATACTGTGGCTACTTTCCCCCCTACTGGGAATCTTAGCAACCCTGACTAAGGGGCATTGAGCTTTGTTATCTAACAATTAAGACTAAAGGTCTGTTGATTAGGATCCTCAGTTGCAGCTTTTTTCACTCCTGTTTTTATTTTTTTTTAACCTATAGGAATCTCCGAGTTGGTACCAAGGAAGCAGGTCAGTTTTATCAGCTTCTGTACTAGCCCAGTCCCCTAAAAATGCCTATTCTTTCTTGACTCCTGGCTGTGTGAACTCTGAGAGAAAGAAAATCGTTAATGAATTTAGCTTTCACTTCTCTGAGAAACAGTTACTTACTGAAAAGTGCCGAAGTAAAATTTTAATTGTAATGCTCACCCTGGACTGTCATCTTATGAAATCCTACTCATCCTTCAAAACTCAACTCAGTCATTTCCTCTGTGAAGATTGCATTAGGTAGAGTTAGATGGTCTATTCATTCATTCAATAAATATTAAATGCCTACAGTTTATCAGGTACTGTGTTAGAGGCTGGATATATTTCACTGGTCCTTTCTAATTAGTGATATGTATGCTCTACCAACTGTTAAAAAAAATGGGTGTGTGTGTGTATTTTTTTTTTTTTTTCTCTTTTTGAGACAGAGTTTTGCTCTTGTTGCCCAGGCTGGAGTGCACTGGCTCAATCTCGGCTCACCCACAACCTCCACCTCCTGGGTTTAAGTGATTCTCTCCTGCCTCAGCCTCCTGAGTAGCTGGAATTACAGACATGTGCCACCACACCCTGTTAATTTTGTGTTTTTTAGTAGAGACAGGATTTCTCCCTGTTGGTCAGGCTGGTCTCGAACTCCCAACCTGAGGTGATCCATCCACCTCGGCCTGCCAAAGTGCTGGAATTAAAAGTGTGAGCCACTACGCCCAGCCTAAAAATATTTTTAATATCAGTTCTGCATTGATGGATTAAAAAGACATGGTGCCCTACATTCATAGAAGTTATAGTCTAGTGTTCTTTTGTCCTTCTGTACTTCTGATAAGCCCATTATGACACTTAAACACTGCTCTAATTGTTTTTTTTAATCTCTCCCACTAGCCTGTAAGCTTCTCAGTTATTCTAGTTACCTTTGTAATCTCAGGATCTAGGAAATATGGACACAAATATATGCTTGTTGGATAGCATCCTTCTTTCTGGTTATTTTGGGTTTAGTTCTTTTTCTAGTTTCTTAAGGTGGATGAGAGGATGGAGGGATGTATGAATGGATGGACAGCTGTATGGCTGAGAGTACTTGGTAAGGCACTGAGGAGAGAAGAAAGGTGTACTTTACAACTTTTATTATGGGCAACACAGAGGTGGAGAAAGCTCCACTTAGGGAGTTGGAGAGCAACGGGTTTTATATGGAAACGCTGCTTCCATATGTGGCAATGCTACCTATAATACATGAGAGTAAGCAATTTGTGCTCAGAGAGGAAGCTATTATTTCTATAAACAATGATCTGATTGATCCTCTAAAGTGGCACTTAACCTCTGCTTAGGGGGATTTGAGCTGCTTCTCTTTTTTTTCCTTTCAGGTCAACCACACCTCGACCAGTGGGCATTACTTCCCCATCACAGTCAGGTGAAAAACATTTTTTTCCTTAAATATCTGTGTGAGATGAATATCCTTTCCCTATGTAGAAAATGATCTCCCTTCAAAGATAATAATGTGATCTTCCTAACTTTATGTATAATATGAAAACATCATATAACAGATTACCGCACACAACAAATTGGCCAGGCAAGGCGGGGTGCACCATTGATAGCAACTTTTTATTCTGCACTCTATTCTCTTTCAGTTACCCCACGACCCAGTTCCCAGCATAGCAGTCAGGTGGTCAGGTAAGCCTACACAGCAACATTAAAACTGTTGGCAAGAGTTGGAAGATGAAAGAAATATCTAGATGTGGCTCAGATTGGGACTGACAAAATTTTAGGTGTATGTAGAAGTTTAAAGCTAGGTTTTTTTTTTTTCAAGCCAAACTGTATCCGGCTTTATTAAAGATACTTTCCATAAACAATCATGGTATTTTAGGCAAGACATGGGCAGACAATCGTTAACAGTATGCAACTTTCAGACTCCCTTCTTCAGTGGACTACCAAAAATCAGAAAGCCATTAAAAAACCCAATGAAGTCTTCATCTGATGCTCTGAACAGGGAGTTTAGAGTGAGGGTTGACATTTCACATTTAGCCTGTTTAACAATTTTTCACAAGCCGACCCTGCTTTCAGAAAGTGAAATGAGAATGGCAGAATTTTGCCAGGGGCAGTGGCCCACACCTGTAATCCCAACACTTTGGGAGGCTGAGGCAGGTGGATCACCTGAGGTCAGGAGTTCGAGACCAGTCTGGCCAACATGGTGAAACCTTGTCTCTACTAAAAATACAAAAAAAGTAGCTGGGCATGGTGGCATGTGCCTATAATCCTAGCTACTTGGGAAGCTGAGGCAGGGGAATCACTTGAACCCGGGAGGCAGAGGTTGCAGTGAGCCAAGATCTCACCACTGCACTCTAGCCTGGGCAACAGAGTGAGACTCTGTCTCAGAAAAAAAGAAAGAAAGAAAGAAAATGGCAGAATTTATCTGAAGATCCACAATCTAGAAAGGGAACCACTGCTCTCTTTGCAGGTGTCATGTTAGTAGCATCACTGGTAAGTCCAGAGGGCCTGACACACTGGTAACCAATGACTGGGAGTCAGGTCCCAATAGATGTCTGGGCTTAAAGGAGTTAAGTCTATGCTGAAAGATGGAAAGGGAGAAGAGGACATACAAACAAATTTGTTTTTTCATACCACAAGGCTTTTGTGCCAAGGTGGCCATGTGTGTCAAAGTCAGGGAATCCCTCTTCCTGGGAGCCAAGGAAGTCTCTCAAAACTAGAAGAGAAAGTTGTTTTCCCCACATCGATCTAGCTTTGAAGACATTTTATTAGTGACATATGCCCCTTTCCCAAAAAACAACAGTGAAGTGTTATGTGTACTAACAACATATAAAGCTAGGTTTTTTGAGGCTGGCTGCACAGTGGCTTACGCCTGTAATCCCAGCATTTTGAGAGGCTAAGGTGAGCTCATCACTTGAGGTCAGGAGTTCAATACCAGCCTGACCAACATGGTGAAACCCTGTCTCTACTAAAAATACAAAATTTAGGTGGGTGTGGTGGCGCACACCTGTAGTCCTACCTACTAGGGAGGCTGAGGCATGAGAATCGCATGAACCCAGGAGGCAGAGGTTGCAGTGAGCTGAGCTTGTGCCATTGTGCTCCAGCCTGGGCAACAGAGTGAGACTCTGTCTGAAAAAAAACAAAAACAAAACAACAACAACAAATAAAACTAGTTTTTTTTCTTTTCTTTTTTTTTTCTTTTTGTTTCACCGTATACAGTCGATCCTCCTCAGCGGAATCTATTCCTTATAAAGAGGCTGGCTTTGGTAGCTTCGGACAAGTAAGCAACGTTCACCTTCTCTTTCCAGGTTGAAGTTTCTAACACTAAATGAAAGCAAAGGTTTATTGAGAACTTAAATTATATTGGTTTTGGCATAAATTGTCTGATGTCATACTGGATCATATTTTCTTTTGGCAATGGAGACCTGATGTTAAAAACTGACACAGAATAAATAGGAGTGGAAATAGTAGGAGTGTCTCAGGACTGAAATAACAGTGTCCATGGTGTTCATTTGGAAAGAGTAAAGTACGGCTCTTTCTTAAACTAGTTTGCCCACTGTAGTAGAACAATATATGCTTGAATGTGTAGATATAGATAAATAGGGAATAGGGAAGCCAGAGAACTGAGATATATTTATTAATTGATGCTTATTATTTGTCTATTAGGGAGGCAGAGGTCTGCAGGAAAGGAGAACTCCAAGAAACCCTTATAATGGTGAGAGGAGGGATAAAGGGTGTCAGAAGTCAACCTACTCTATGCAGAGATCTGCGGATTTCTGGTTTTCTATGTCTAATAGAATGCCATTTTGCTTTTTTTCCAGACAGTGATTCCAGGTATCCATACATATATTACAGGTTTTTCAAATAATGATATTTTTTTTCCTCCAATTAATAAGGGGGAAATAAAGATTTGAGTGATAGAAAGTCATTGAAAACCTCTGGTAGGAGATGGAGGATAACTTTTCAGTAAAATTGACTTGGAATTTTAAAAATTGCCACAAGATGGCAGTATAAGCTAATTGTAAAAAGAAGGTCCACAAGATGCTGACTGTTGGCCTGAAGTGTATCTGGCTTCTTCGCTGTGTTTTAAACATGAAAATATTCCAATGGAGGAATGTTTTAGGTCTGCTTTCTTAATTTCTTAACTAAAGCCCCTTAAAACTATTACTATTGTTACCATTTTCAAGGGCATTAGCCAGTACCTAGAGAATACCTATCAGGGAGGACTTTCACAAGAAAGAATTTGAAATTCCCAAATCTTTTTTTTTTTTTAAATTCTCTAAATAGTCTCCCACCTCAGCCTCCTGAGTAGCTAGAACAAAAGGTATGTGCCACTATGCCTGGCTAGTTTTTAAAATTTTAATTTTAATTTCTTTGTAGAGATGAGGTCTCCCTGTGTTGCCCTGACTGGTCTTGAACTCCTGGGCTCAAGCAATCCTCCTGCCTCGGCTCCCAAAGTGCTGGGATTATAGGCATGAGCAACCATGCCTGGTCCCTGTTGTCAAATTGTCTAATTTTCTCTTCAATTATATCAGTTTTTGCTTATGTATTTTAGGACTTTTGTTAGGTGCATATATAAATGTTTCTCTTCTTGATAAATTGACCCCTTTATCATTATTTAATGCCTTTGTCTCTTGTAACAACTTTCTTTTTTTGTCTTTTCTTGAGACAGAGTCTCACTCTGTCGTCCTGGCTGAAGTTCAGTGGCAAAAATCTCGGCTCACTGCAACCTCCACCTCCTGGCTTCAAGCAATTCTTGTGCCTCAGACTCTTGAGTAGCTGGGATTACAGGCGTGTGCCACCACGCCTAGCAAATTTTTTGTATTTTTAGTATAGAGATGAGGTTTTGCCATGTTGGCCAGGCTGGTCACGAACTCCTGGCTTCAAGTGATCCGCCTGCCTTGGCCTCCCAAAGTGCTGGGATTACAGGCATGAGCCACTGTGCCTGGCCCAACACTTTTGTCTTTTTTTTTTNTTTGAGATGGAGTCTCACTCTGTAACCCAGGCTGGAGTGCAGTGGTGCAATCTCAGTGCACTGCAATCTCCCCCTCCCTGATCCTTGTTCAAGCAATTCTCCTGCCTCAGTCTCACTGTGCCCAGCTACTTTTTGTATTTTTAGCAGAGACAGGGTTTCACCTTGTTGGCCAGGCTGGTCTTGAACTCCTGACCTCATGATCCACCTGCCTCAGCCTCCCAAAGTGCTGGGATTACAGGTGTAAGCCTAGCCAATTTTGTCTTAAAGTCTATTTTGTCTGATATTAGTATAGCCACTCTTGTTCACTGTTTTTTTTGCGTGGAATATATTTTTTCATCCTTCTCCTTTAAATCTATATGCATCTTTGAATCCAAAGTGAGTCTCTCGTAGACTATGTATAGTTGGACTTGTTTTTCTTTCATCTTTTTGCCAGTTTCTGCCTTTTAATTCATTTACATTTAACGTAATTACAGATAAGGAAGAAATGCAGAATGCCTTCTGCATTTTGTTATTTGTTTTCTATATGTCATGCTTTTTGGTTAGCCTTTTGTTTGTCCCAGCTAATATTTATCTTCTTAGGCAGCCAAACAAGTGCTTCTAATTGTTTTCAGCAGACAGGAAAAGGTTTTTCTGCACTTGGTAAGCTCTGAGCTCCAAGTCCTGGTGCTGTCAAATAAAGACAAGCTTGAAGGTGAGGTCTTTCAGGGAACTGCTAGATAGGTCAAATAATGACAGTTCTTTGGAAATGAGTCTTTCAAAAAGCTCCAACCCTGTTCCATTCCCTCTAGTGATTGTCAGACTGTTGGTTTTCACCATGAGTGTGCCCTGTTGGTTTTCAAGGCTACCATGGAGCTGAAGAAGGAGAAATGGCAATAGAGCAAATTAAAATGCCACAAACCTTGCTGTTTTTACTAACATTCTGGTATTTTTCTTGAATAAACAATCTCCAGATTACTACAAGTCCTTTGTTAATTTCCAGATTTCTAAAAAAGTTTATTCTGACCATTATGCCAATTTTCTCATTGTTTTTATGGAGGAGGAAATTTTTGGAGATCTTTGTTCTACCACTCGTAGCTATTTTTTTGTCTTTACCTATTCTTTCTGGTGATTTCCATCTTGGAGGGGAAGCCAAGTCACAGATACATTAGAGCACACGAAGGCAGTGAGGGATCTTGGCCCACAGTCTCATGAAAGGGAGAGGAAAGCACCTGTTAGAGATACTGCTATGTGATTTGTGAGCTTTTTCACTTGCCATTAGCCCCCAAGCCTAACATACATACTAAAAATCTTTGATCTCTATTTCCTTTTCCTTGGCCCCCAGTACACCCCAGTATAACTGGAGAGTCTCTTCTCCAGTTCATAGATTATCTCACAGGCTTATTTTTATGCTTTCCAGAAACCCCGTCACCAGCTTCAACCCACAGCTTATGTTACAGGTGAGTAACACTGTGCTTCCTTTTTCTTGGGATGTGTTCATACTTAAACTCTGCCAGCAAGCTGGGTGCAGCGGCTCATGCCTGTAATCCCAGCACTTTGGGAGGCCTAGGCAGGTGGATCACTTGAGGTCAGGAGTTCGAGACGAGCCTGGCCAACATGGCGAGACCCTGTCTCTACTAAAAATACAAAAATTAGCTGGGAGTGGTGGCACATGCCTGTAATCCCAGATACTCAGGAGGCTGAGGCAGGAGAATTGCTTGAACCTGGGAGGCAGAGGGTGCAGTGAGCCGAGATGGTGCCACTGCCCTCCAGCCTGCATGACAGAGACTCTGTCTCAAAAACAAAACAAATCAAAACGAAAATATAAAACTCTGTCAGCAGTCCTAGGGTTACCTCTCCACTGGCTTGTACCACTGAAGTTTGTAACATGCCTGATAAACAAAAAAGAAAATTGGATAGCACTGTGTTTAATATACATCCAAATTAGTGTATTTTGGCCAGGCAGGTGTAGTGGCTCCCACCTATAATCCTGGGATTATACTTAGGGAGGCCAAGGTGGAAGGCTTGTTTAAGCCCAGGTGTTGGCAACCAGCCTGGGCAACAAAGGGAGACTTAATTAGCTGGGCTTAATGGGCTACTTGGGAGGCTAAGAAGGGAGAATTGCTTGAGTCTAGGAAGTCAAGGCTGCAGTGAGCCACGGTCATACTACTGCACTCCAAACTGGGCAACAGAGTGAGACCCTGTCTCAAAAAAAATCATTTTATTATTAGTTGCAAGCAGGGGAGTTTTTCCTCTCTGGCCTAACTGTATAGGCTCTTACATTAAATATTCTTTTTATTTTTACCTTTACCTTTGCTTTTCTCTGCTGATGCTTTTATTTCCCTTCCTTAGACCTTCATCTGCCTCCTCTGGACAGGGGATTTTTTCTTTCAGACCATCCCCAAATGGGCATTCAGGCCACACAAGAGTCCTTACCCCCAACAATTCTGGTAAGTTAACATTTCCAAAGGAGTGGAGTTTCAACTATAGACACATATACTAAAATGAAGATTTTCAAGATGACAAGAAGTTGGGGTTTGCTCCCAAAGAGCATTGTCTCTAGTTGGCTCCTTAATATTCTTTAAGAGCCATCCCATTTCCTTCACAGTGAAGGGAAACTCTGGATTTTCCCTGGTGAGCACTCATCTTGTCACCATCGAGTCTTACTATTTAGCCAGAAATTTGGCCTATAGGATTAAACTGGCTTCTCAAAAGTCCCTATATTGAAAATGCTGGGCACTCAGTTCTGAGGATTATAAAGCCAATATCCATTCTTCTCCCCATCTTTTTTGGTAAAGGTGCTACCACCAGTCCTCTTGCTAAGGGGCTGCCATCTTCCTTAGCTCACCAATATTTATATTGCCTATCTTTCCACTTATAGTTAAATCTCAGACCTCTCTGCCAGTACCTGGTCCTCACAGGATAAGAACGGACTTTATAACCCATCTCTTAAATTGCTAATTGTCTTTCCCTTCTGAGTAGTGTTCCTTCGATCAAGAACTACCTGTTACCCTAACCCACAAATAACACTGCCGAGAAACTGCCCAAGTAAGCTATCTTTCACTGTTTCATTTTATCCATCAGGTCAGAGGGAGAGCAGAACCACACTAGAGAGTTTTCCTACTTTCCAGCTACCAGTCCTGCAGGTGAGACCTGGCTAGTCTAACTTGTCTGTGCATGAAATCTCACATGGTTAGGCCTGCACACTAAATGCCTCATTCTGGTCTTAGGGTGGTGGAATATAACCAGTGAAGTACGAAATGGGTTTCAACTCTGGTAACCGTATGTTCACAATTTTCCAGAATGGTCTCAGATTTTATCCTACTGTTAGATTAGCTTCCTGGTTTGGGATTTTTTAAATGAAGTCACATGGTAGTGAGAGGGTTTATACTGAGAGGTCTTGGCCAGGGTGAAGTAAGTGTGGACACGCTGACATTCTCAGTAGTTCCACAAGACAGTATTTTATATGAAATATATCTTTTGGGTAGAGGTACTATTTGAATTAGGAAAAACCACATTTACTTTTCCAGAGATAGCTAGAATAACATTTTGTAAATCTATGGGACTATGATTCTGATTCCAGCAACAAAAAGAAAAGGGCATGGTAACAAGGAGAGGTTTGTAAAGAGCCCTATTAAATGAAGTTGAGAGGGCAGGGGCAGTGGCTCATTGCCAGTAATCTCAGCACTTGGGGAGGCTGAGGGGGGTGGATCACGTGAGGTCTGGAGTTAGAGACCAGCCTGACCAATATGGTAAAACCCCGTCTCTACTAAAAACACAAAATTAGCTGGGCGTGGTGGCCTGCGCCTGTAATCTCAGCTACTTGAGAGGCTGAGACAGGAGAATCGCAAGAAAGAAAAAAAGTCCAGTCTTGCCTTTTTTTTTAATGGCTTGTGTTTTGAGCATATTTAGGCCCCTTTTTCACTCCAAGCTCCTGGTGCCCCCAGGAACAGTTCCTTCATACTAAGGTAGGTATGTATTTTGCTCCCATATTCCAAGATGACCTTTATTTTCATCAGTAAGAAATTGGGGCTGGGCACAGTGGCTCACACCCGTAATCCCAGCACTTTGGGAGCCTGAGGCAGGCAGATTGCTTGAGTTTAGGAGTTCAAAAGCAGCCTGGGCAACACAGTGAAACCTCATCTCTAATAAAATAAAATAAAAAAATAGCTGAGCGTGGCAGCGTGAGCCTGTAGTCCCAGCTACTCAGGAGGTTGAGGTAGGAGAATTGCTTGAACCTGGGAGGCCGAGGTTGCAGTGAGCTGATATCACACCATTGCACTCCAGCCTGGGCAATAAGAGTGAAACTCCATCTCAAAAAAAAAAAAAAGAAAGAAAGAAAGAAAAGAAAGAAAGAAATTAGGGTCTAAGCCTTAAGAGGCAACACTGGGGAAATAACATTCCTCCCTAACATCCTCACAAATGGAGGGATTAACCTACAGATGAAAAAAGACTTAAAAGCTCTATAAACCGTCTATGAATATATGGCCCCTAATTGGATCTTGACTGAAACAAGCTGTAAAAACAAAAAACATTCATGAGACAGTTGAAAGTTAACCTATTGGACATTTGATATTAAATAATTGTTAATATTGGAGAGTTTTTGTGGTATGATATTATAGTTATATTTTTAAAAATAGCTTTTCTCTTTTATAGATACATACTAAAGTATTTATGGATGGAAAGTTAAATGATGTCTGGGGTTTGCATCAGTGTAATTTAGTAGAGAGAGACATGGGAGAGTAGAAATAAAAGATTGGCCATGAATTATTTGTTAAAGATGGACGATGGGCACATGAGTTCATTATACTATTCTATGTATTTTTTAAAAATGTGAAAGTTTTGTTTTTAATTTTGTATTTTTTTACATTTTTGTAGTTTTAGTAGAGATGCCATGTTGGTCAGGCTGGTCTTGACCTCCTGACCTCAGGTGATCCGCCCACCTCGGCCTCCCAAAGTGCTGGGATTACAGGCGTGAGCCACCATGCCTGGCCGAAAATGTGTACATTTTAAAAAGTTATTGAAGGAAATGCCACCTCCTCAGAACTCTGCCTCCTGGATAGTCATCTCTGGGTATGGTAGTCATATGTTCCAGATTTTCCAAAATAGTTTTTCAAATATTCATCATTATTATCACCATCAGCCACTGAAATATTCCAGAGATTGTCACACTAGATGTGGCAAATCCTAGTTTGGAAAAGTTAGTTATCATGCAATGAAGAAAACTATGGGGAAGCAACAGCAGTGGTTTCTGTCTCAATAAGCTTCATACAATGAGTTGAGAGAGACTTGCTTGCCCTTTTTGTTGTTATAAACACCCATATCTACCTTCTTGTCCTCTGCTGCAGACTCCCTACCAACAACAGAGGCAGATGGGATTACCCAGTGGGAGAGGAGCATGGAGCACTTCCAGATAGATCATCTTCAAGGTCTGATCTATACATACTGCTGAAGGATAGACTGTAGCGTCCAGTACCCATTGGGGTGATGGCTCTGGAAAAAGTACCCTGGTGGTGTTTCCTGGTTTCACTCTATACCTTATGCTTCCTTGTCTTTATCCCATTCACCCTTATCACCTCCCAGTACAGTGGTCAGGTCTTAGAAAAGGCTAGTGCTTCAAGATGATGTTTATATCTCTTCCAGAAGACATAGGTAGCTTCCCTCATTTCCTACAACTTGAAACAAAGATTGTAAAAAATAATTCTTGGCATCATGCTTGGTTGGGAGTTGGGAATGGGGATGTGATGGGTCATATACGCATCACTATTTCATTTCTGGTTTTCATTTTTAGCTTTGGATGTACTCTCCATTGCCAGTGTTAACAAACAACATCTCTGTTCTTTGTCCTTATACTTTTTCTGTTTGCCTATTGTTTCCTCTGTGCTTAATTGCCATTAAATATGTTAATTTTCCTTTCTATTGAAAACTGTTAGAGATACTGATTTTCAGCTTAGTAAAGTATACAGGTAGTAAAACTAAGAGGATGTCCTTTTATTGCTACAATTCTATCACTATTACAAGCTCTAGAATGGTGGAATGGCAAACAACACTACCACTGAGATCAAACATGTATTCTACTTTGGGTACTAAATGGCAGAAATGAGGAATTTAATAGGTTAGCCACTCACAAACTGGCCTTAAGCAAAAATACTGGGAAAACAGAAAATAGCAGACATCTGTCAGAAATAAATTAGGTCTTGGGAATTATCTTATCTGAACTAGGATCCCCATACCCTTTCTGGTACTCTGAATTTATTTTTAAAGGAATTTCTAGAAACCTTCTCTTTTGGGCAAGAGCCCGTTCTGTAGCAAATGGAGTTACCTCCAAGACTCTTGTATCTCTGTTGCTCCTGAAGCCTCACAAATTTTAGTCATTATCATTTGATGGCTGAGAAACAATCTGCCTGATGATAGATGCTGAGCTACTTCCTTTTAAAGTTTTTATTCTTCTTTTAATTTACCTTAATAAGTCCTGCCCCTTCAAACAATAAAAGTATGTTGAATTAGAATGTTAATGGATTTGGTTCCATTAATCCCTAAACCATAGAAGTAGCAAAGTGGATGAGAGAGAAATAATTTTATTTTTGGCCTTTTTATTATTATTCTAGCATTTTAGGGCTTCCACTCTTTTATTTTTAGATGGTTAACTCATTGATGATACCTATTTGCCATATAGCTGATCCCAACTGATGAAAACCATTCTAAAATATCAATAATTAATTCACTTGAAGACCATGGTCCCTCTGTCCCTAAGAGAGATCCTAGTAAGAAAGGGAAAAGTCTCTTTTCTGGAAACAAACTGACAGCAAAAAGATGAAGAATTAGTCTCTGTCAAGCTGGACAGGAGGTAGTATGAGGTTTGTAAAACCAAACCTGAAACCTACCTCCACTGCTCTTCAACCAGGAGAAACTGTGCCCTCTCTTTCACCCCTTTGTAACATAATTCTACTTTTTAAAAGGTCTTCTTTTCTAATTATCACCTCCAATAAATATCCATTCTAAATTATTCTCCACCCAATTATTAAAGTTTTTCACAAGCTCGGTGGGGGAAGATTTACCCTGAGACACATAGTGAACAGAGTGAGGATTTTGGAAAGAGAGAAAAAGCTACAAGGCAAAGTGGTCCCAGCATAAGAAATGAAAATATTCTGCCACCTGTGATTCAGTCATGAAGCAGGTGAAACATATAAAATCATGATGGTATGAGGAAAAGGAAGTTAATATTTGCGATGAGACTGGGACTTACTGAGACTCTTAGTTGTCTAGGAAATGATCAGTTATTAAGAAAAAAAGAGAGTCGGTTGCATTACGCACAGACTTGTGTTCAGAAAAGGGGTGCCAGGGAGCTTTATATTCCAGGAAAGATGGTAGGGTTGGGGATGCACTGGAATCATCAATCGAATTAGAATCCCTTACTCCTTTCTAATCCTCCTGGAGAGGTGTGGCCAAGGTCTGGCCTCTCTATAGTACACTAGGAAAAGAACAGTAGACATGGGGAGGGCAAGCGCCATTTCCCAGCCCATGGTTTCTCCAGATCCTCAGTACACTCTACACTGAGGTTAGAGGTCTGGATTTCTGCTGATCCAATCCTGGCCTTACTTAGTGCCCTATGGCCATCCTCCCTGGTTCACCCTCACTACATTCCCCTGCCACCCACCCTGAAGAACGCAAAACTTTTTAGTTCTCTGCCACAAGGTAATTTTAAAAATGTGGTTTCTTTGTTTAAACAGTTGCTAAGTTGGTTCATCTTTTAGTAACAGACCTCCCCTCCCCCAGCTGCCCGCTCAGTCTTGTATGATCACATCATCATCATCATCATCATCTTCCTCCTCCTCCTCTTCTTCCTCATCATCTTCAGGCAGTTCTTCCTCCTCCTCTTCCTCTTCTTCATCTAGACAAACTACCACTTCAGCTGGCTGAGGTAATCGAGAGTCAAACCAATCCAGTACCTGCTGGGTGCTAAGCCTTGAAGCCTGACTCAGTTGAGGGATATCAGTCTCCCGTAGCTGTTGGTGGGCTGCCCAGTACCTCTCCAAGGGCTGCATATCTGGTGGGGGTGGAGGGATCGGCAGAGGTGGTGTCTCAGCCCTTTCATTCAAGGAGCGGGTTGATGGTGGAGGTGGTGTAGGAATTACTGGGTCTTGGAAACTAGGGGCACCAGGTACTGCGTTGTCCCGAAACCATTTTAGTTGCCCATGCTTCAATGCATAGCGTGTGTCACCAAACCACTGAATGATCTCAGGCCGAGGTAAACCAGTGATCTGTTCTAACTTATGGTAATCTTCACGCCGTGCCCACTGGCACTGTAAAAAAAAGGATTTGAGGATAGCCAGCTGCTCTTTGGTTTTGCGCTTGGTCTTTCGCTGGCGTTGCATATCTGGGGATAGGTACTCTGTGGGGCCAACCCTACCTGGTATTGAGTTATGCCGTAGCCCTTGGGGCCAGGCTGGTTCCAGGTGTGGGGGTAATGCCTGATCACTGGGTGACACTGACTGTGGGATACAGCCTAATGGCTGGAGGGGTTTGGAGGTGGCAGTAGCTCCATTAGCTAGTATCTGGAAAGAGGAAGAAGAGGTAGAGGAAGAAGAGGGAGTAACACTAGATGCTGACTCCTCCTTACAACTACTGGCAATTAATGCAATTGGTGGGGGCTTATCCCGAGCTTGTGGCTGGAGGATAGTTGTGGAGTGGTTCCAGGAAGCAGTACCTATGCCATGTGACTGGTTGGGACCCCTGCTTGCCTGCTCCTTTGAGAGGCCACTGCTTTGAAGATCTTGCCAAAAATCTGATTGGTGGGGGAATGCTCCGCTGCCAGGTGTTATCAGGGACTCCTTTAACTTCTGGTGACTCTGTGACAGTGGCGGTATCTGAGAGGACTCCTCAGGCTCTACCTTCAATCCTTTCGTCTGGGTGGGCTTGCTAAGAGCTGGAGGACCTATTCCAATACCAGCTTGTTCTGGAGCTGGCATTGGAGGAGGCACCTCCTCTGGCGGCCGTCCTGCATGATGAGTAAAAGGGATTTGAAATGGAGTTGGTCCCGATGGTAGACCACTCGAGCTCGAGTCTCTTCTATTTCTTCAGATGACCAGCTAATGCCACAGCGGAGGCGCTGGGCCATAAACCAAGTCTTGACTTTCTCCATCTGCAACCCATAACGCAGGCAGAGAAGGGCAATGTCTGCTAGGCTGGGATAGGGAAAGTAGCTGAAGGTTTGTAGCAGGTGTTCATTGCTGTCTAGCTCACTGGTCTGGGCTGCTTGGGTCCATACAAGCTGTAGCTCCTCAGAGATTGGAGGGAGGCAGATGAGCCCCGCTGGTGAACTATTGAGACTGCTGGCCTCTTTATTAGGAGGCATGATGCTTTCTGATTTGTGCCCTTCAGAGATAGCTGTAATAAGAAGAGAAACAGCTCAATCACTGGGTCTCCTCTTTTTGACACATTACTCAATTTCTACCAAGCTAACTGCTGGACACCAAAACGATTAAATTTCTATTTGTATCATGTTGTATTGCTTTTTAAGTGCTTCAATAATTTCTCTTTTAATTTTCACAACCTTAAGGCATCAGATCCTGCTTTAATTCCCATTTTCTGTGGACTAAAGTTCATAGATGTTAAATTACCCCGAGTCATGTGACTGGTGAGTGTTGTACCAAGAAAAAAATCCTGTCTTTAAAGCCAGGTATAGTGGCTCACACCTGTAATCCCAGCACTTCAGGAGGCTGAGGTGGGAGGATTGCTTGAGCCCAGGGGTTTAATACCAGCCTAAGTAACATGGTGAGACTACAAAAAATTTAAATTTAAATCAGCTGGGCATGATGGTTCATGCCTGTAGTCCCAGCTACTTGGGAGGCTAAGGCAGGAGGGCTGCTTGAGCCTCAGAGGTCGAGGCTGCAGTGAACTATGACCACACCACTGCACTCCAGCCTGGGTGATAGAGTGAGACTCTATCTCAAAAATAAAATCAAATAAAATAAAAATCTGTCTGTCTTTAGAAGTTAAGCAGGAAAACTGATCCTGATATAGCTTTTTTTGGTGTGTGTTTTTTTTGTGTGTGTGTTTTTTTACACAGATTCTCGCTCTGTTGCCCAGGCTGGAGTGCAGTGGTGTTATCATAGCTCACTGCAGCCTCAAGAAGTCCTCCTGTCTCAGCCTCCTGAGAAGCTGGGATTACAGGCACCCACCACCATGCCTGGCTACTTTTTGTGTTTTTAGTAGAGACTGGGTTTCACCATCTTGGCCAGGCTGGTCTTGAACTCCTGACCTTGTGATCCACCTGCCTCGGCCTCCCAAAGTGCTGGGATCACAGATTTGAGCCACCTCATCCAGCAGTGTTTTT